CTTTACTTTTTTACCATATTTTATTCTAATGGGAAAATCTATCAGACACTGCTTGTTAGTTACTTCAAATGCTGTCACGATACAGAAATCAGGTTGATGTTACTGTGTTTATTGAACCCAGACATTTTTATTGTATTTAAACTTTGATTTGACCTGCTGTTGTTGAACATGTCTGCTCTGAAGTCTTGTTTCCCAGCAAATCCCATTTGATTTTTCTTTCTAATAAATGTTTGTAATTTGGTTGCCTTCATAATAGCATTGGCACAGCTAGCATTAATTGGCATTTTTATACCAAATTGTAGAGACCCATCATCCAAAAACCACCCATCAAAGACAATAATATACAACTCTAGAGCTGAAATACTTTTACAGCAGAGACCACTGTTATCACCACTTGACAGAGGTGGAACAGAGGTAAGGAGCCATGAAGTTCTTTGCCTAAATACCTCCAGTAAACCAGCGGTAGAACTAGCCCCTGTGCCCAAAACAGTCTGCTACAATTTTCTTGCTGTGGATCACAGGAATACAAAGAAATATATACCTCTTAAATCTGTTTACCTGGTCTCTTGGAGTGGTAATAGGTTGTTGTCATATTGGTGGCCTTGGGTTGTGTGAACAAACTTCACTGCTGTTCCTACCTATGCTATGCCAGGTTTCTAGTTACAAAGCAGACTTCAGTTCCTCATGATTGTCAGGCTGGCACCCTTCTGCAACAATAAATGTAATATAAAGCAGAAAAAAGTATCTGAGGCAAAGAAAGGAGCTGTCTGCAATAACATGGTAGAAAAAAAGAAACCACATTAGATGCAAGTATTCACATGGCTGGCAGTAATGGAAATGCACAGCAGAACAGAAATGTGGAAAATGTTGGCAAAGATGAAAAAAAGGGATTACTCTTATATTTAGGGGTTTTTTGGTAAACTGTGGAACTATTTAAACCAGAAATTCCACCTAGGAAAAGTTACCTGGTATTGGTTTGGATGATCTTTTTGAATGGGTCTTGAGCTTTAAATTCTGTGGGGAGATGATGAGATTTAGCAAATGCAGAATGTAGGCCTAGGGTATTCCTATTAATCGTCATGCAGCCGTGACTTAGGATACGTTGCAGTACTTCAAGCAAAGCTTTTAAATCTAAGATGCGTAAATTGTGCATATGAACCTGAAATTTTCAAAGTGGCAAAAATATGTATTTGGCATTGGCATTAATGGGATTTTGAGCTGCTTTTAAAGCTTAAAGCTACATAACAAATGTGCATTTCCCCCAAAAAAACCTCTGAAATATATTGATTTATTTTTATTGAAATGGAACTGAGGAGTTCAGGTTGGGGAAGGGGAGAAAGAAGACAAAACTGTCAAAGAACATCTTCATAAACACTATCGATAGAGAGATAGCTTTGTGGAGATACTCATGTGGAGTTAAAGGCTTTTTTGGGTGGAACATAGAAGGAAGGGAATCAAAACAGACATCTTTTCACATGCTTTAGAGCATGCCCTGATCAATACATTTCTAGTTAAAGATTTAAGATTTCTGTCCAACAAGGTTGGCTGCATACCCTTGTTCAGTAAAACAGCTAAGCTTATGTGGAATTTTAAGAACATGTTCATGTGATGTCTGTATAGGAATGTTTTCTTAAGGCTAGGAACTCATTTTATACTTCAGAAAATGTACTTTAAAAATCATAGCCAAAATAATTACCATTAGCTATTAATTTATTTGGGAGGATTAGTTTTTTGCAGCTGTCTGAAACATCAAGAAATCTTTAACTTGAGCATCTGACGGTCATGTCCTTGACAGGAATTTTACAGGGATTTTTAAAGTAATTGTGCTGGTTTGCTTTTTCTTTTTTTTTTTTTTAATTATTATTATTTTTAAAGAAGCTTGAGAATAAAAGTAATTGTTTGAATAAGCTGTCTGCTGTAACAGTCCTTTAAGGAGTTCTTATTTGAATGGTTATTTTGTTGATTTAGTATATCCTTCAAGTTCAGTGTTTCTATACAAATATTTTGAGTTCTGGGAAAGATGAATACTTGCTGTTTGTGGAAGCATCAGCCTTTTTAGTGTTAAGCATTAAGTGTTATACTTCCTAACTGTGAGAACAATGAAGTTATAAAGCTTTATAAAGACTTACAATTCAAAGTACAGAATCAAGAAAACTCCAAACTATTAAGAGGGAGATTGAGTATGTACAAAAAAGGCTTTATAATGTGACATCTGAAATATCAGAGAACCAGACTGAAGGAGTCTGGCAGTTTCTTTTCAGTATTATGTACCTATCCTAGAAGGCATAGCAGAGCTTCCTGATAAAACTGGCCAAAATCAGTCCCATTAGATACTGGATATTCTGTTAACAGTGACTACTCGAATGGCTTTTCAGAAAAAGATGTGGCTGTGGGTTAGAATGTATTAACTTCAGCTGGGCTTTATTCAGAACCATTAGCTTTGGTGGTGGTGGCTGACATGCAGCTAGACTGCAGCTTGGATCGCTTGTCTGGTACCTACCACCGAGTTTGTAACGGACCGATGAAACCCTAAATCTAAATAAAATTGTAGTAAAGATCTCACTAGGAGAGTGTATATTGCTGAAAGGAAGGCTGGGAGAAGCTTTTCTTTTGCATGTGCTGTAAACACAAAATCAAACGTATAATGTTGCATAAAAATGAAACTCTAGGGCCATGAGTTTTATGAGCAACTTTATAAAACAGATGCATATCTTAATTTTTTTTTTTAGGTCTCTTATGTGGCCTTTTAGATCATTCCATACATCTTGTCTTCTTTTGCTTTTAAAAAATTTAAAGATAATTTCTAAACCAGTCTTGTTATTTAATGTACATACTTCATGCATGCACATACACTTGGAGTTTTTCATGCTTCTAGCTTTATTTAACCACAAAATGTCCCACCTTTCCCTATTATTAAAAAAGATTCTGTCTCAAGTAGGAGCTGCTTCCCTATTATCTTTCAGTTTTGCAACCCAAATTACTCTGGCTTTAGGCCCTGACAGGATAGATCTTTTAAAAGCAGAAAATTGTTTTCTTTGTTATCAATTGTTTTTACATTCTTTTTTCCCCTGTCTTTTCAATATAGGTTGTGATCAGAATACCAGATGTGAGCACTAGCAAATATACGATTCATTTGTTAATTCTGTTTAAATTAAAAAAAATATGAAATTATGTTTATTAAAAACCTTCATCCTACGTTTACAGCCCAAGTTGATAGGAAGTGAAATGTCATTTTTTCTTAATCTCTTCCTGATTGTCTAGCTCAAACAGGGAGGTTATCAGAAACCACAGCTGTTTACAAATGGGTTACTAAGGGTTTGCTAATTCAGGAGAGAAGTAGGAAGGAAAAAAAGAACTGCCTGAGAGCAGAAGCTCACATAAGGAATGGAGGTGGAGCTACAATAAAATCTAAACAGAAACCTACTGTGCCAGGAGCTGGAAATACCAAATATCTTGGGTTACAACCTATTTAATTACATTTCTGAACAGAGGCTTAGTAAAACTCTACACTGATATATCTGGATGCTGAGCTGTTCTAAGCTCTTGATGCTTGGGATTTGTCTTTCCCTGGTTGCCCATGTAGTGATACTCAGTGACCTACCCGAGGTATGTCTTACACAGTTCTCGATGCTCGTTAATATAGCATGATTAATATAGCAGCACAAAGTTTTCAGGTCCCAAGAAGCTAGGTGGTTTGTTTGTTTGTCCCAGGAGAGGGGCACAGGCAAGTGTCAGGAAATAATTCAGTGGGAAAGCCCAGCAACTAAGAGGCAAGTGAAACCACATCCATTTCTTTATTTATTTTTAAAAGAGAGGGAACAATCACAAGGCAGCAAGTTATTTCTTTATAGATTTCTTTTTGAAAAAAAAAAAAAAAGTTGGGTTTCCAAAGAAATCACACAAATATTTAGTATACATGTTGTTATGAAGATAGCTGCTGCAAAAATCTATTTCAAGGAGCTTCTGATCAGTCTTTCTACCAGAATACCATTTGAACTAGTTTCAGACACTACTTATTTTCTCTTTAGTTTACAATCCTTCCCTTCTGCATCCAAATTGCTCATAGCAGTCTAATGCCAGATCAGCCCGTAAGGCATCAAAAACATTTGTTTTCCCTCCTGAAACACACAATCAGGCACTTGACATTAGTGGCTATGTCATACCAAGCTAATTAATAATAACAGACATAATTTTGCATCCACTGTATAAAGATAGAGGAGAACTAAATCCAGGAAAAAATGACAAGACATATGCGCACTACCTGATGAGTTTTTCTTCTTTTGTCTAATTCTTTATTCCCCTTTGTACCATAGAGAAGTAAGAATGTTACTTTTTTATTGCTTCGTTATGCAATCAGTATTAGACAAGAAGCTGGAAGAGCTGGAAATTAGTTAAAAGCTTGTACTATTGATACTGCAACAAGTTTTATCGTTGACTTAAATGGGAGCAAACTCAAGCCTTTGGTATTACTCCTAAGAGTCAAGACTAGAATGGACAGATACTGAACAGGTCTTATGATATATTCTGAAAGGAGAAAGCTCAGGGATTTACAGACATTTTCACGTGTCTTCAGGCAAAGATTTCTCAAGCAGTGCCAGGCAGCTGTTTTGCAGTGCTCTGACAGTATAAACAGTTACAGGCAGTTGACACAAAGTCATTTCCATCATTTGCAGGATGTTTAGAATTAGCAGCAATGAGATTTTTTTTTTAATGCTCAATTTAAATGCTTGATTTTTAAAAAAATGTCAGCTATATGCTTACAAATCTGAAAATGCCAATTCATTATTTTGAAAGTTGTCTCCATTAGCTGATATAAGGTTTAAATTACGTAGGTATATATTTTCTCCATTCTGTTGAAGGATGCTTAGGAACAAGTGAGGAACTACCAGCTATACAATACTTAAAACTCCTTCTATTTTTATCCAGAGAAGCCAGAAAAGTTGCAATGGTGAAAGCATAATTATAATATATGTCTTTTCCTCTCTTTTTATATCATTTAGATATCAGCATGAATCAATTCCAAGTCCACTGGTTACTGGAGTCCTGTGTACACAATAACACCAAAGGACTTGGGAAAGTAACTGAGCTGACTTATGTAAGTCTCCATTCAGCCTTCTGCTTGACTCTGAATAGTTTCTAAGCAGCAAGAGAAAGGATGGTTCTGTAACATAACACAGAATGCTTTATACCATATTTCACAGAGAAGTTAGGATGTTTCTTTTTTATGTTCCTCTTCAGGAGAAGATAAAAATGATGCATCTGGACTGTTTGGAGTTTTGTTTTGTTGTTGGTTGTTTTTTTTTTTAAATCCACACTGGGCTGAAATAATTTATTTTTGTCAGTGCTGTTACTCAGAAAACAAGAGCAGGCAAACAAACTTCTTCGCTAGGTACTTACATATTTCTACTGCATAAAGAACATGGAGCTTTATCTATAATTACGACTGTAGGACTAGCTCAGTGCAAATACTGAACAGTAATAATAGTAATTAATAAACTAGGTTTTCTTTTAGACATGCAGGTGGGTTTCACAACCCCGAGGAGAATAATAGAATAAGAAAAAAGGACTGTAGGTGAAAAATACTAGACATTAAATCTGGAAGTCGGACAGATATCAGATAAGGAGAAAAGTTCTATGTAAGTATATGTCAGCCCAAATATATATTGCAGTGGCAGTTCTTCATACTCAATTTGTTGGCAATCTAGCGTCATCCGTCTCTGTAACACATTATTTGAACAACACAGTAATGCGATTGGTGCATCACCATTGATTTAGTGGGTTATGGAAAATGGAAGAAATCACAATTCACCTTTCCTTCTTGCCCTGACCTATACTACTGGATCAGTTCAGTGGAGTTAATGGCATGTAAAAGTAGAGTAAATCAAAAGACTTCATTTCTCAAACGGAAGGCTGTTAGCTTGTAAGATTTACTGCTTCATGGGGTCAGCAAAGCAAATATTAGGGGTGGATTAAAAATATGATTGTGACATAATGTTATGATCACTGCCAATATTTCAAGTTATGCGCATTGAAGATAGGAGAAAGTTAAAATTTAAGAAGTTTATTTCCTCTAGAGGTCAGGAAAGATTCTTTGTACGTCTGCCCAAATGCATTGTGGGATTAGTTAATTTATTGCCTCTCAATCATCTTATGGTAATTGGTCCAATCTACGTTGGGAAATTCCATGTTTCTTTTGAGGAAGAAAATATTTACAGGCAAACAGAAGAAGGTTGATGCTACAAAAGGTTTGGTACTGGATATGATAGGTCAAGGTAGATAAAGGCCTTACGTTTCCAGAGTTGAGCATTTAGGCCCTGTCACAAAAATAAAAATTATCCTGTCACCATTTTAAGCAGTAGTCAAGCCTATTAGAGCACTCTCCCACAAGGTGGAAGGTGGGGAGTCAAGTCCATTCTCAGCTCAACCTCTATGTCCCATCAAAAATGACCTTCTCAGTGAAGGTTAGATTAATCCAGTTTGGGATTAAGAACAAGAGTTATGCAGAAGAACACTGGAAATTAGTCATTCTGAAGGGAAGTAAAGACCTAAAAGGGAGAAAAAGACTTTTGACCTTAGCCAGTAAGATATTACTGGACATTTTCCCAGAAAAAAACCCAACCAAACAAACATTTTTTTCTCATATATGTTTGTGCTGAAGCTTTCAGGCTGTGATTTTCAAAAGTACTTTAGACAGTAAGTATTTAGCAGGACACTTACATTTTGTGTAAAGTTTTCTTCTCCAGTCATTGTCTTTAAACAGAGAATTGTGCTTTGTAGTTCAGCTGTGGAGCTTTTCTTCCTGATAAGAAGGTAGAAGTAGTTAATGTACTGAAACGGAAAGAAAATGGATCCATAATGCCACGCTGGACTTTGAATGTGCTTTTAAAAAGTTGAATGTAGATGAAGCCTGTCATTTACAGCAGCTTAACTCAGCTTCCTTATATTTATTTAATTCGATTAGCATTTACATCCTCATATTGCTAGTCCCATTGCTATTATGTCAGAGAGACGGTTTTAAATGTTAGAAGCCAGTTGCTTTGATGCAGCATGGCAAAGGGACGCTGTAGAATTGAAGGACATATCTAAATACCATGCTAATACATTTTGCTACTGAAAATAATCATAGCATATGCAATGTTTGCTTTGTTCTCTGAGTGAAAGCCATGTTGGCATGTGTTAAGCATATCAGGAAAATATTTTATTGGAGAAAACTTTTCATCTTCTGCCAACCTTATTTTTCAGTTTTTATTTTTTTTTTCTACAGGTCTATTTGCAGCATGTGATCTTTTTGTTTTTCTTCTAGGAAAACTACATGATTCTGAAGGACCTGTCATTTTCATGCAAATATAAAGTAACGGTTTTGCCTGCAAAATCTAAAGGTCGTTTTAAGGCTGAGAGTATTTTCTTTGTTACCCCACCTTGCTCTGCATTCAAAGAAAAAAACCACAAGCACATTAATTGTCCTGCT